GTGCATGAGATTCTTTCGTCCTAAGTGCAGGACTCTGCACTTATCTCTGTTGAACCTCATCAGATTTCTTTTGGCCCAATCCTCCAATTTGTCTAGGTCACTCTGGAGCCTATCCCTATCCTCCAGCATATCTACCTCTCCCCCCAGCTTAGTGTCATCCACGAACTTGCTGAGGGTGCAATCCACCCAATCATCCAGATCATTAATGATGAATATATGTGATTAGAAGAGCCTTGTGGTATCAGGTATATTTGTCAATATAATATGATAGGGCCAAGCTATCTTTTAAACCACATTAACAAAATGAAAGTTCAAGGAGGGAGGGCGAAGTAGCTGTAGACTAGTTGACTGAACATGGCTGGGACTCAAGGAAACTCAAGGTTCCGTCTTCTAATCTGCCATGTGGTCTTGGGAAAGATATTGCCATATTTTTATTTCTTCAGAAATAGGGAAAACAATGTATACCCACCTGGTAAAGCACTTTGAGATCTATGAGACAAGGCACAAATTTATTACTTACAAAGGCCTTGATCCCAGTGAAGTCTTTAGCAAATTTCCAATTGACTTCAGTAATTCAGGATCAGACCCTAACACAGCAATATTGCAGATTTAAATGCATGCTACCACTAAATGTAGTCTAAGAATAAAATACTCCTCCTATGGGTGCTTGCATCACTCTACTCATTAGGTCATCCAAAAATGCATTTGCGCACATGCTACAATGGGGTTGCATCAGTAGCCTCATCAGCTTTCAGGAACAGTGCCATACAGTAGCATGAAGGCGAACAAGCCCACATAAAAGTGAGAAAGCACAGAAGAAAGGAGAGCAATAAGGAAATGAAATATGCTCCCTAACTGTGCTGTGAACTAGCTCTCAGTCTCTCTTAGATTCTCCTCCCGAGTAACCCACCTGATGTCAAACAACTGGCATATGGAATGTTTTACAGATGGATCAGCATCAGTGACTCACGCTAGCTGTATATGATTATCTGTCACACAGATGTTTTAGTTTGTGTTTGCTTGCTAGCCAGCCAGCAGCCAGACTCTTTTTAATTTTATTTTGCTGCAGGATCACCAACAGATGTTTAACAAAAAGACAGAGAATAGTCTACTATTGTGAATACATGTAGTTAGCTCCACTGCCTTCTTGGGCAATATTAGCCCCTGAGAAATAACTGGAAGAAATTTACTGGTATGATCTGAGAAATTTTCCAGATTCTTCTTTATAAGGAGTCAGTTGGCGTTAGTTGCGCTAGCAGGGATTCCTCTGCTTATAACGATGCCACCTGCAGCACTGAAGATGCATTTGAAGTGATTGATGAATACTAGAACATAACAGAGAGAATTTTTAAGTGGGCTGCTGTGGCCCTCAGTACCAGTACCCGAAAGGGTTCTCTCTCATGTCTGAAGACTTTCATCATGGACATACTTTTCTTTAATAGATGTACTATTAGACATAAGCGCTGATTCTGCAAATGCAGCTGCACAAGTGGGTCCACGCGTCTGCTTGTAGGCTCAGCACCTTCAATTGCCTGGGTAATCTTGCCCTACTGTGGGGGAATGAACAGTTATCCCTATAACACACACAACTTGTTCAGGATCAACAGTGGTAAAGTAACTTTTTTTTAATTATTATTTTTTTGCTGCTGCAGGCCTTGGTTAGTGCTAATGATTAGTGCCCAGGAGGTGTAGCTCTTTGTTTCAATTAATCTCCTCAGTGCTTCCTAACGTTTATGCGAAACAATCTGACTGATGTGTTGTAGATATGGGATCTAGGAATAGGATAGAAGATGATTTTATGTCCTCCAGCACTTTGCTCATAAATCCTATGTCTACCTGGGTGAAAGTGGGTGTTAATTCTGCCCTTACCTCAATCAGTGACCATCATAAAGCCTTCACTTTCACACCGGCCCATGATTCTGGAGGTGGACAACAGCCTAAAAGGGATGTTTTGCGTTCATAAAAAACACTACTCCCAAATTTTAGGGACCTGCACATTATTTATTAAGTTTTTAAACATTATACAAAATGCAATTGGATAAATATCTCAAACTACCATAAATCTCCTCTTCCCAATCCACTCATACCACATTAAGCCTCCCCTATGAGACTAAAAAAACAACCTTTGGAAAATAAATATCACATCTGGGCTCTGCTGCACCAAAAGGAGAATAAGTTCCAGAATAGAGGGACTCTTCACTGAAAATTTTCTGCCAATCTCTATTCAAGCCAGTGCAGATCTGAAAATATTCTACATTTGTCCCCAAAGACATGACTCTGCTACCACAGAAGAATTCTCTATCCATAAATCTTGGGCTTGATCCTGTAAACTCTTATTCACTTCACGTCAATATGCTCGCATGAATAAGGACTATTCCTGTGATTAGGCATTTGCAGGTTCAGGCTCAGTTGCATCTTTTCCAGCAAGTTAGAGGTGCAGTTACTGGACCACATTCCAGAAGCTCACACAAAGAAGTGCAAAACACACCTTCCTGCATCAGCAAGTCCTCTTACACTGCAGCAGACATTTAAGCAAGCAGATGGCTGGCAGTGTTTTCACGGATACCTGTGCTCTGTGAGGATTCGCTATAATTTCAACAGGGAGTTCCATGTGAGCTGCACAGACAGGACGGCCCGGATCCACAAAGACACTTAGGCATTGTGATGGTGAGCATTGCAAAAGCTAGCTTTCCAGAACCTGGAAAATTGCAGCAACAACAAAGCAATCCATAAAGCTTGAGTTAAGTGCTTAGGCTCCCTATACAATGAATGGGGAGAGAAAGGTGCCTAAGAATGCTCTCCACTAAAGCCAGCATGCTAGGCAAGGAGCCACCTAAACTAGCCAATGGGGCCCTCTCATGGAGATAGATACCTAAGTCTGAGCTGCTGGGAGGCACCTATCTCTGCTTGTGATCCACAGCCAAGAACCCCCCCCCCCCACTTTTGGAGCCAGGTGGCTTAGGGGCCAGCTTCACTCCACACAAAATGGCTGGAGGAGGTGATGGGGCTGGTGGTTCTGGTGTTCACCTTAAACATTTTAGCCCAATGGTTAGAACACTCGCCTGGGATGTGGGAGGCCCAGGTTCAATTTTCATCTCTCTACAAGAGGGAGAGAAAGGGTTTGAACAGGAGTCTCCCTGTTCAGGGGAGTGCCCTAACCACTGAACTATGAGATAGTCTGATGGTGGGGCCCCTTCAATCTCTCCTGTTGAAGCTGTTCCACGGTGGATAATTAGAGTGATTGGGCCAGAGAGACTCTGTAGCCTGGAAATGGGGAGGCCAGAGGTCCAGTCCCCCTGCTCCAATGACCCCTTATTTGTACACAGTGGAACAGCTTCAATACAAGAGATTGAGGGAGGCTCCACATCAGAATATTCCGTAGCTTAGTGGTTGGAGTATTCACCTGAAAGGTGGGAGATTCCTATTCAAATTATTTTCCCCAGCAGGCAGAGGGAAGAACTAAACCTGGGCTGCCCACATCCCAGGTGACTGCTCTAACCACTGGATTGAAAGTTACTGAATGGGCATCCCCCACTTCCCACCCACCAGTTTTGAATGGGACCTTTTCCAGTAGGCAGTCTCTGAGCACACCTACTGGATTGGGCCCAATAGGGGGCGGAGCATCTATCTTCCCCCCACTTTGTGGATCACACTGATGCTTAGGCAGGAGATAGGCAGATGCCTAGAGTGGGGTAGCAATGTGCATACTCAGAGGCAGAAACAGAGACACCCAGGGAACTCTTACAGTGAACATTTAGGGTTAGACAGCCTTTTGAGGATCACAAGAGTTCCTAAAACTGGGACTTAGGCATCTAAGTCTGGAGTTTGGGTGCCTAAATACCTCTGTGGATCTGGGCCAAAGTTTATATCCTGACCAGTGCTATTCACTGTTTGAAATTCATTGATTCTCGGTGTCCTGGTAGACACCACCTTGCACCACCTCCCCTTCCCTTCTAATAGACACTTCACTTTGGGGTTCTGTACCAGGATTCCCACAAGATTTAGCCTGTGTCACATTTTGCAAATTGCAAATTACTTTTTGCCACTACATAAAAATTTCTTTTCATTATTAGGGCAGCTTCAATGTGGCTACTTATTTGAGTTCTAGTAAATCATGATCTCTTTTCTTTCTATCATCAGTGAACATGTTTCAATACTGATAATATTTTAACAAGATCTGCTAAAAGCTAACTGCCACTTAAAATAAGGGCCCTACAGCCTTCACTGGTGTAAATTGGCATAGCTCCATCAATGACAGGAAGGAGGGAAACCCAGCAAAGCACAGAATCTAACAAAAGCAGAAGTTTCTGTGCTATGCAGAAGATAAATGGGGAAATGTTTACCACAAAATTTAGTTCCACAGGTGCAGACTAAATTAGATAGGAAAAATACATTAACCTTTAAGCTGCTGAAATTTTGAATATCACAGAAACCCTGTTTTTCAGCCTTCCAGTATTTACAAGCTGTACATGCAAAATGAGTGGGGAGATTTGGAAAAATGCTTTTAATTACTTCATTCTCCCCGCTTTATATTTTTGTGTATCGTTAATTATGTTAAGCTTGTTAGAAGTTCCACGCAAACTATATTATGTAAAATGTACTGACCTTCAAGTCATACATTTGAATTAAAACATATTTATGTTTGACTGCTAAGGTATTTTAAAGGAGAATATCATTTAAAAAAAATTCTAGATGTAAGTATTTATAAACATCTGTTTACTATGCTGCTATATTATGTATTATTAAATTTAATATTACTATAAAATGCTATATTTGTACATAATCTTCTAAATTGAAAGATGGTAGGATCTTGTTAGTGAGGAGCTTACATTCTTCATTCCGATAAACTTCTGCTGCAAAGTTGCATCATTAACTAGTTTTTCCAGGAAAGTTTTGACTCACTTGTCAATACAAATATAGTAATCTTAGCATGTGGCATTTGTGGAGAAATATTGGCAGTAACTTTAATTTGTCTGTCTGTCTCTCCCTCTCTTTTTCAGATGCTCTCTAAATCCATTGAACAGCTAAAGCAGCCTGGCAATCATCTAGAAGAAGCTGAAGAAGAGCTTCATGGAGATCATGCTATGCAGGAAGAAAGAGCTCCCTCTAGTGGTAACAGCATTAGGGATGACAGCTGCAGCATTTGTGTGGATGACAGAATAGGACAGCATGTGGGGGCTGTGAAAGTGAAAGAGGAGCCACTGGACACTGATGACGATAATCAAACCCAGCAAATGGAATCTGGGGAGCAGGCTGCTTTTATGCAACAGGTAATAGGCAAAGATTTAGCTCCAGGATTTGTAATTAAAGTTATTATTTGAACATCAAATGCATTTTTAGGGCTTGAATAAGAGATTGACTGTCTTTTGATTCATGGATCTAGCTAATTTCATTTTAGTGTTCAGAGAATCTAACAAAGGTTGGTGCATTTGCGTGCACTCTTAAAACATAGTGACGCTCCTTTTAAAGGCCACTAACTGAGAAAATACCTGCTGCACTCAATTATTCTACATAAGTCAGTGCATAATACATAGAACTTGTTTTCGCTCTAGGACTCTATCACATGAGTTAGTTCCAGGGAAATAGAAGTCACCGTTGTTTAACTAATTTGTTGAGATCAGTAGTTGTGGAGTCCATTTCCAGAACTGATCAATGAAACATTCTTTCTCTGTTTCTGAATTCTTCTGATGTCTTGACTTTTTCCTTTCACCTATATGTATATAATGTATCATACTGTAGTCTTGAACACTGTTAAGAGTAGGTTTGTTTTCTCCATTAGGCAGATACTGGTTGCAATACCAGGGGTCCTAGGTTTGTGTATAGAGTACGATTATGGAGATATTGGGAGTGCAAAGTGGATGTAAACATACAAGGCAAGGCACTATTTAAAAGGTTTTTTCCTTTTGCACTTAGTGTATTTTTCATTTTTCCCTATTTGATTATGTTGTCTACAAAGGCATGATCAAATGAAGCGGATTCAAATATCAGCAAGGAATGATATGCAACATTGTGTTCCAATCAGATATTAGGGTATATGTGTAATTGTAGAAAAACAAAACAGAACTATCATCTGATAGTCAATATTTTTTAATAAAGACTAATCATATAATATTGTATAACCTTTACCATTAGGGTCTCACTGAAATGCTAAATTAATGACAGTGTGTGTAAGACACCAATGTGGCAAAAGGTCATTTAAATTGGTAAAAAGTATTTTAACAATTGCTAAATGATAAATGCACTCATACAGACTGTACTTTCAGAATGCTGGTGTCCTTTTTTCCCTATAAAATCAGAACAACTCTGAATGCAATAGAAGGCACTGTTTATTTAAGTCAGTACTTTGTCAGGTCCCTGCTGTTCTCCTGCAGAAAAGTGATTCTGTGGGGGTGAACAGGAAATGCCTTATGGAAACAGGAAGTCCAAGTGATTCATGTACTGAGGAATGTAAGGAGGTGGGGGGGGGGGGGAAGGCATGGGGGGATGGATATTGTTTTACTCTGTTTTTAAAGGGCACTCTATGAATTGATTTATTGTCAAAGAAAATAACAAAGCGAGTAGGGAAATTGTTAAGGAAGCTTTCCAGTGAAACATTTCCTTCATATTCCCTTTTGATATGTTTACCTTGTTTTATAGGTTTACTTTTGTTAAGCTAGTTAAAGATCCATTGTATTACGATCTCTTTAATATGGATAATCCAAAACTGACCTGGAGTCCTGTCAGGTTTTTTTCTATTAAAAATATTTATATTTCTAAAGCTAAGGTATTTTAAGGTGCAGTATCCTGTTTCAAAAGAGATAGCTGTTTTGCCAAATGTAGAAATTGTTCTAATATGTTATTAGTATGTGTTGTTTACATTTTGCTCTAATATTATAAAAGTCCCTTATAAAATGTTGCAACTTCTAAAGATACATTATCCTTTCCCTTAAAAAGTCTCCAAACAAATTAAATGACTTAAATAGTTGCTGTAAAAGAAACGCCTCCTGAAACATTAACATCAGCTTTGATAGGAAAGACTTGCTAATTGACAATATATGTTTTTTGCTTAAATATATTCCCCCCACCTCCACACTTAAATACAAAGGGGGAAAATAAAATACACATTCAACATTATGAAGCATATAAAGATGGAAATATGTATTTTCCCATTCTATATATATTTCATTTCCTACCAAGCCTAATTTCAGCCTCACCAAAAAGGGATAGTGAATCTTTTAAAATAGATTTTATTTACAGAGAAACTTGCAAATGAGGAGACTTTTGTACAATATCATTTCAAAGACATGTAACAAACAAAAGATATTTTTATAGTGTCATTCAGGAGAGTTACCCCAGTAAAGCCAGTGGACTTTAATTCTATTCAAATTTGATAGCCCCTGAATTGAATCAAGAAACTACCTGGAACCAGTGAAAAGGAAAGCTGGGTTAAATAACCATATTTCTAATTGATAAATGTCTCTTACATTTTAAATCTACTGTATTTATTATAATCTACACCTTTGGAGGTGATCTCTTGTTTTGTGTTGTAAATATATTCTGTTTGTATGTTCCCTTTCTTGCCTTCTGATATAAGTCTATTTCTTTCTCAAATAAAGTTTTTTTTTTTTTAAAAAAGATCCCCTTTCATATATCTGGCTTTGTGTAAAGTTGATAATTTTAGTTGGTGCTCTGTTTTTTGTATAACAGAATCTGCTGGCTATGCATTGTTGAAAAAAATCCATTAAAGCTTTTAGGAGCAAGATTTTTTATTACACTATTTTTACAATGATTACACAAAGTCTATTTTGGTCTGTTATATGATCCTACATCAGCCATTATAAACTGTAAAACAAATGGAAATAATATCTATGCATGCTCATTTTCCCATCATGGCATTTGTCTTGGACATGTGATCATCAATGGTAACATACAGAACAAATAAAATACAGACAAACCCAAATTTTCTGACTCCTGATTAGCCAATGTGTGAGCTATTTGAAAATCACTTCCGTTCCTATTTCCAAAATTCATATATAACCTAAAATCTGTTGATCTGAAACTGACGAAAGTTTTGGATGTCTCTTGAAACCTTGGTTAAAACAAGGTTTACCTATAAATCTGGAGAAAGAACTTCAGACTAATTAGAGGGTGGTTTTCAACATGGATTCAGAAAAGCACTGTAAGCACATGCTTAAAGTTAAGCATATGCTTAAGTGCTTTGCTGAATGGCGGGTGATGCTTTCCTGAGTTGGACCCTAACTTTGCTTTACCTTTTACAAAGATAAATATCATTCCAATATACATAACTATTTTCATTGTTAGTAGTCTCTGAAATTTTGCTACAAAAAGTGTGTGAATGGCAAATAAAGGATCCAGAAAATTAGATATTGAAAAGGTAGCCTGGAAGAACGATTATCCATCTTTTCTAACTCTGCAATGGTTAGGTTCTTAACTCTTTCACTTCCAGTGGTTCTTGCACTAAGATAAATGGTTTCAGGTAAAATAAATAGATATGAATAAACAAACATTTCCATAAATACAGTTTTTCATTACAGTTAATTGTATGAGCATTACTTTTTCCCTGATATGAGTGATACTCAAAATACTTACTAGCTAAAAAGAATAATGCTAAAAGGCTTAATTTGCAAAAGTTAAACAGGCTAATTAGCATTAACCATATTGCTGTAACAACTTACCATATCGCTCATGTGTATATATAAATTGAAGTCTTTAAATAGTTAATACTACTGACAAATTTTTTTTAAATGAGGCCTGTTTTAATAAACATGTCAGAATAGCAGTTTAAAACATTTTCCATCTATAATCCAAGATCTTATTTTACAGCATTCATTTTCTGAGTGTAGCTAAAAGATTTTTGTTTGCCATGTTTCCAAGCAAGTTGCAATGAAACAAAAGTCATAATCAAATAAATACCGTAATTTTTTCAAGAGACAAGGTGTCTCTTCTTTAGAGCAATAAGCACCTATGCAGTCCTGTTGTCAAAAATAAAGCCTGTATATGTAGCAATTTGTGACCAATCACTTCTAAATTAGTAAAATTGCTTCATATAACTTATGTACTCTGAGAAAACAAACTCTATTAAGCCATACACTGCTGTTATACAATTATTGTCCCTTTAATACCTGTACATCGTTTGGTATTAACAAAATAGTATTAAAAGTTGAATCTCTGAGCAGAGCAGAAGTAATCTGGGCAGTGCTGACACATATCTCTACCATTCAAAAATTCATTCATGCACCTTCATCATTACCATATCATCTCCAGGATCGCTAAGATTTACTCTGGGTATTGATCCTGAGCAATCCAGCTGTACGCTGTTTTTATTTCACTGGCATTCTGAGGTAAAAAAAATTATGGACATTAGTCCCAAAACGCCAGGCTATGAACTCTCCACAATTTGCAGCCAGAATTAGTTAGAAAATTAACTTTGCTGTATTATTTTCTGTCCGAGTAGCAGCCTGGCCTACTTATCCATTTAAAGGATGTTGATTGCTTTTCATTTATTTGTTTACTTTCTGATTTCCTTATGCAATTCCCTTCATCAGTATGACAGAGCTTTTTCAGTACCTCATTTGCTTGCTGGAGGATCATAGTTTTGAGCATTATACTGTACACTGAAGTCCTCCTCAGGCAAAAGAGAAGTTCACCATGGATAAAATTATCCTCTCATTTATTCTGGTACAATTCCATTGATTGTAATAGGCTTGCATCGGTGATTTGATGGCACTTGTCCTTTGTGCCTTTCATCTTCAGTATAATTCAGCCCAACTTGATTTTTATTTTGTTTTTTATTCTGACTCTGTCAGATCTATATGCATTGGCTATGCATTTAGATCTGACAGAGTATACTGGTCTGCATTTTTCCCAATAGCTCTACAGTGTTCCTACCTGTGCCGCTCTATCTTTATGCCATATGTTTATAGAGCATATATTTATTTTTAGCCCTATTTTCTGGCATTTATGGTATACTTCAATTCTTAGGAGCTGCATCTGTTTCTGTTCTATATCACAAAATTGAATGGTTCTTATATTTCTAAAAACACAATACAATGCAAGGGCCAGGTTATTATCTATGACACAGTAGTGCCTAGAGGCCCAGTCAAGCTCAGAACCTCATTGTGCTGGGTGCTGTGCAAGTTAATGAGATGCCCTACTTAAGAGGGGATGGGAAGAGTGTGGAACCAAGCACCACCTATAATGGCAAACTCTAGCCATAAATCAGAGCAGGTAGATGTGCCTGTCACAATGATGTGTGCAGACACAGTTAACA